TGCTTTCATCCTTCCAGGCTCTGGCCATTAGACCTCTCTCCGCCTGGTGTGTCTCCCCCATCAGCCTGGGGGCCCATAGGGATCTGAATTTGAACCTTCTCCATGGTCCCAGCACCTAGCATAGGGCATAGGTCTTGTAGGGCTGATTTGAAGACATTCACAGAGGAAAAACATGTGAACTGAGGAAAGTGTGCAGCCAGAACACTGGCCAGCAGACACTTTCAGCACCTTGGAGAGCTCCTGCAAAGCCCCGAGGAAACCCTGCGGTGCCTCCCTGAGAATAGGATTCCCGACTACACGCCCGCTGAGTCTGACTCCTGCGGATATAGGACTTACCTCTTCCTCAGACACTTCCAGGGCTGGGAGGAGATGTCGGTGGTCCCTCACTTTACAGGGAAGCCCCTACTTTGCTGAATAGATTCGGGGAGGGGGGTGAGTTTCTTCTACACGCGTGCATGAATCAACCTCTTGTAGTTCCAATGCTTGGTCTTTGTCACCCCTGCAGCCAACCTTTGGAGCAGGTGCTACCATGACTATGGGTCAGGTGGGGAGACTGAGACCCAAGCTCTTCCATCCCTCAAGGGAGTCAGGTCCACCCACGGATCATTACTTGGGGAAACAAAATGGCCCCACTATGCCTGTCCTCTTCTAGGTTGAGGACTCCCAACTCCATAATTGGTGCAGCCTCCACAGGGCCTTAGCTTCTAGCCCCTTCCATCCTGGCTGCCTGCCTGGCCCTTGCCCTCTGACAGTGCAGGCCCAGAGGCGACGCCTACACTTAGTTTAAAAGTTAAATGAGTTTCTCTTTTAATTTCACTGGCTTCTCACAGTGGTTTCCTTGGAAGGCACACTGGCTCTCTGGCAGTTAAATTCTAGGGCTGATTCTCACAGGCCAAGGCTCCCCTTCACTCCACCCCATTCACTCTAAGCATCTTGGAACAGAGCAGTGATTCCTAAACTTTCTGGATCAGACAAATCTCCTTGAGCATCTGGTAAAATTCAGATGCATTGGCATCCCCCCCTCCAAGAGTCGGGTTCAGCAGGTGCCCAGGAATCTGTCCTAACCCAGGGCCCCAGGTGATTTTTATAACTGACTGGAGGGGTTGGGGGCAGGCAAAGCAGATAGTCCGTGCAAAGGCCCTGGGGCATGAGGGAAAGTAGGATCAAGGAATCCCACTGATGTCCTCCACAGCACTTAGAATAAAATCGGCATGGCTTTTGCCATGATTTGTACCTCTACAGTCCCCTGTTGCCTCTCTACCCCATGGCCCAGCCACTCTCCCCTGACTCACTAGCCCAGTCACACTGTTGTCTGTAGTCTGGGATATAGGCCTGCATGTTCACTGTCCTCCTTGAAATGCTCTCTGTCTGATCTTTCCATGGCTTACTCCCTGTCCTGCCCATTTCAGTTTAAATGCCATCTCTGTGCAGAGGCCACCCTGGGCACCCCTCTAATGGGTGGTCCTCATTCTTCTCTAGAATAATGCCTTTTTTTTTTTTTTTGGCAGCATCAAGAATTATGGAAAATTATCTTGTTTATCTGTGTTCCTTAAGGTCAGGGCCTTTGTTTTGTTCATGGCTAAAGTCTTAGTGACCAAATCAGCTCCCAACACATGTAGCAGAAGGCAGTGTATTCATGGGATGGACTAAGAAGTTCTTTGCAGAAGGAGTGAGAAAGGGACAGATCAAAGTGGGACATGGGGAGCAGGAGCCAGAACATCATGCTCAGATTGGTCGTGCCAACCTCCACCCACCCCTCCCCAGCAAGATGAGCTCAAGCGCCCCATGATGGCTCTGCCAGATATTACCTGCTTGGTCATTTAGCTGGTTATAGCTCAGGTCAAGGGACTTCAGGCCCGTGTGGGCCAGCAGGAGTTCAGCAAGGTACTGGGCTGCCTGCTCCTCCAGGCTGTTCCCTGCCAGCCAGACCTTCTGTATGGCTGGGTTCACCATGAGGGCAGCACAGACAACCTGGGTTCCCGCCACTCCCAGCTGATTCTCCGACAGGTCCACATCTGGGGGTCAGCACCACTCCTCAGTCAGTGGGATTCAAAGCCAGGCTCCATCCTCCTCTACCCTCCTTCATCCCCCAAACCTCCAGGCCTAAGGCAGCAGAAGGGACTTTGTAGCCAAATTGTCCTGGGGCACATGGTGACTCTGATACCTATCAGCGGGGTTTCCTCAGGCCCCAGGCAACTTCCCTGATGCCCACTCCCACCCCAGTGTCCAGTGACTTCTTTGTCGCAGACCTAAACCACCGACTTCCTGTTGAATGCTCACGATGGAGATGCAGCTACCCTGCTGATTGTCGGTGCCTGGCAGCAACACAACCCACCCACGGAAGCCCTCACTGCCACATTCTGGGACTGGCAATAATAGTCTAGGTGGCCATGCTCAGAGCACTTATGTGGGCCACACGCACTTTTGCCGATGCTCACTCTCCACATCCTCAAGGACTAAGTGGCATTGTTGGGCCATTTCACAGGTCAGAAACTGAGGCTCAGCAAGGTTTGGCTTCTTGCCCAGGGTTACCCCACTCTCTACTGGCAGAGGCAGCATTTGGATCCAGCCCCACTGAACACCCATCCAGCCCTCCTCCCTCCTTTCTCTCTGCCCAGCCCCCACCGGCGTGTCAAAGGACTCTCCAACTTGTGCTCAGTCACTGGGAGGCTGTCATATGAAGAATGGGCTGCCCAGGGGAGGAGGTGGGTGGGTGGGGTGGCATTGGTCAGATAGGAGTGACATCCAGCATTGGGTGCACCACGGAGGGCCTACCTCCACACTTGTGATGAGGCCCCTCCCCAGCAACACCAGCAGGCCCCAGGTGAGGTCTGGCTGAGTGTGTGAGGGGGGCACACCCCTTAGGAAAGGGAATACTCAAGTCTACCCACCTGCCCTGGGCTCTGCACCTACCACAGATGCTGCTGCTTTTGCTCAGGGCACGTGCCAGGGCCTCCGCACCAGCCCCACAGAGTCCGTTGTCTCGAAGGTCCAGGTGCTTGATGTAGGGATTTGAGGTTAGTGCAGAAGCCAGAGCCTGGGCCCCCTGCAACAGAGAGGGTCCTGAAGAGCCTGGTCCCTCCCACAGCTGAAGGCTCCAGGCACAGATAGCTACTACTCTGGCTCCCGTTTCCAGAGCTCAGCCTGCCTGTTGCCTTCCAGCTGGAAGGCCCTTTCCCCATGAGACCAGGGGACAGCTGCTTCTCATTCTAGGCTCCAACCAGCTCGCACCTCCTGGAGCCTCTCCTGCTCCTCTACAATGTTAGGTGCTGACTGCAGGCTCCCCAGCCCTATACTGAGCTCTGTCATAGCCCCAGTCCCATCTGTCACCCCGATGTGGGAGTGGAACATGCCTGGCACAGAACAAGTCCAGGGAGTGTGTGGGATGGACTCAGGAAGAAGCCTACACCCAGGTCCTCTCCCTCCAAGCGTGGCCCCAGGGTCCCTCCAGGGGTACCTGGGGCCCCAGACCACGGTACCGCAGGTTCAGCTCTGGGGCTCTCCCTTGGCGCAGAAAGCAGGAGGCAGGCACGACGCTGTAGGCCTGGCAAGACCTCAGGTAGAGGGTGTCAGTGACCCGTTCTCCAAGTCCATGGGTGCCTGATAGGAGACAGGAAAAAGAATACGGATCCCTCTTCAGGCACAGCCAGCCACCTTCCAAGGGTTCCCCAGTCTTCCTTCACTACCCAGTATCTTAACATCACTCCAGAAAGGTGTTCAAATGGCGGAACTTCTGATGCTCCCAGGAGCATTGCAGGGAGGGCACGGGGCTAGAGCTGCTGCCACCGTTGAGCTGAAGGTGTCCCACGCAGGGGACAGAGGCCTCTGCCCACTCGGCCCCAGCCTGTCCCCTACACCACTGCCGGAACCCGGCCTGGCATCCCCTGCCGAGTTGCACCTTCCGTTCCCAGGTAGGAGTCCGAATCTGTGTCCGAACCCTCCTCGGCCTCCAGAACCCCTGCAAGACTCCCAGCGGCAGCCGCCGCCGCCTCTTTCTCCTGCTCTTCATTGTCCCCTGACTTCCCGCAGGGACCCCTCATGTTCACGCTCATTTTGCAATTGCGGCCCCGAAGGCTGGGACTGCGCTCCACCGCCCCGGGAGCTCAGCCAGGGAATTTGGGCGGACCCTTCGGCTTCATCGACCAATCCCAGGTGGTGTGCAGCAAACAGGCGCCCTCTGCTGCAAATAGAGACGACGCAGTCACCTCGGCAACTTGGTGTTGTTGGTTGCCGCAGAAACCGCCGCCCCTCTCACCGACCGAGAGTCGGATACTGGTTAGGGGGATAAGAACACCAGCCACCGGCCAGGCGCAATGCTGGGCGCTCTGCAGGCGCTTGCTCTCCCTAACATCTCATGCTGTTCGAGCATCGCCTACCTTCCCACGAACTGGGGAAGATGCCTAATTCTAGACTTCTACTCCCTGCGCTGAGGGGGTATGGGCAGCTATGTGAGAGCTTCACACAGGAGGGCTTGGGGTGCCTTGTGGAGCCCCACCACCCTCCTCTCTGGAGCTAGAGTCAGGCTCTCTGTGGGTCTGTTCTCACTCATGCGCTAGTGCCGTATATACAGCTTCCTCCTCCAGCAACATCCATTCCTCCCCAACTTTCTTGAACTTCAGAATCTTCAAGCGTGAGTTCAGAGGTCACTTCTTTCTGAAGATTTCCTTGGCCCTTCCTGTGGACTCCTGCAGCTCCCAGCCCATCCTCTCACATGGCCTAGAATGCCTATCACCCACCCCTCACCTACCCCCTCATCACTCGAGAAAGTGAGGCCAGAGGGCAGCAGACAGGGGCTGCGCCTCTCTGTGAGCCCGGGGTCCTGCTGAGAAAGACTGGAGAGGCAAAGGTCCAGGGCAGCTGGGGGATGGGGCTGAGCCCAGGGCTGCGGAGAGGGGGTGGGTGTGGAGGCTGGATTCTGCCCCAAGCAGCTTCTGTCCCTTTAATAGCTGCTGGCCCAGTCCTCCTGATTTATCTCCTGTTCAGCTGTGACTGCAGCTGCTGTGCTGACTCATGTGCCCCCGGCAGCCAGCGGGAGCTGGGAGCATGGGCTCCGCGGGGGTCTTGGCTGGCTGGGGGCTTCTGGATTACAAGACTGAGAAATATGTGATGACCAGGAACTGGCGGGTGGGCGTCCTGCAGAGGCTGCTGCAGCTTGGGGTCGTGGTCTACGTGGTAGGGTAAGAGAGCGGCTCTTGGCCACCCTGGCTGGAGGGGCCATGACCGGTCCTGCTGGGCTGAGGGTTGACGGTTTGACTCTTGAGGGGCCGGGCTGGTGGTAGTGGAGGCGGGGCAGGTTGGGACAGGGTCGTGGGTAGGGAGAAGGAAGGATCTTTGCCTGTATAGGGGCCTGTGGGGTCAAGAGCACGCCGTTTGTTTGGCTTGCGGTGGGCCCCCCTGCCTCTTTTCCTGGGCCATGTCCCTAGCCCCATGTTGGGCTCTGGGCACAGAGCAGGATGGGCTCCACCCCTGCCCCGGGCAGGGCAGGATGTAGTCCCTGACACCTGTGAGAGCTGGAACACTAAGGCCTCCGATAGAGACCACCTATTCTGGCTGGGTCCGGGGAGTCTTTAAGGAGGAAGCTGGGCCTGGCTGGGGCAGAGGGAGGGTGTTGGCTGGTGAAAGAGGTGGGAGGGGACATCTCCAAGCCCACAGGTGCCTATTAGAAGACACCTATGTGGGCACTGGCCCACACTGATGGGATGTGCTTCTGATCTGAGCAGGGTGCCCAGGGGGGTGGGGGGAATGAGGGAGGTGAGGAGGCAGGGGACCTGAGTGGTGTACTGGTAACCTATAGTGTGTGAGGGAGAGAGGCTGAGCAAGCAGGGCCTAGCTCTGCCACCGCTCACAGTGTGCCGGGGACACAACATACTGCCCATCGCCTCCTCCCCAGGTGGGCCCTCCTTGCCAAGAAAGGCTACCAGGAACAGGACATGGACCCCGAGATTTCTGTTATCACCAAACTCAAAGGGGTTTCTGTGACCCAGATCAAGGAGCTGGGGAATCGACTGTGGGACGTGGCTGACTTTGTGAAGCCGGCACAGGTGGGTGCCTCAGTGCTACTGCCGAGTGCTGATGCCTCTGCTGCCACCGGTGCAGCAAAGGAGTGCAAAGGAGGCATGTGATGCCAGAGGCAGTGCTGGCACTGTCACTGTGCTAAGCTTGGGAAGAGCCTTCCAGAGGAATGGCATCTTACCAGGGATATTGGGGATGTGTAAGAAGTTTCCAAATGAATGAGAGGAGGGGTCAGGGAGCCAGGAGAGGGGATCTACATTTACAAAGGTTGCATCTGAAAAAGAATGGAATGTCTGGGAGCTTGACTTTGAGCTTGAGCTTGAGGGTGAGGTGGGAGGGGAATGGGGGTGGGGCAGGGCCTGGAACTTCCTGTATGCTCACCTCCCTGACCTGGGGTGCTGCTGTCAGGCCCGCCCCCTCTGCCTCCCATGCTACATTTCTGGCCGCTTCTTCTTCTACCCAGATTGTCCACAGCCTGTTTCCACCTCTGTCCTGCTGATGCCCAAATTGTAGCCCCAGTGACCACTTGCCCCGAGCATAGTTGCCTCCTAAGTGCACACCCACCTGTCCAAAGAGAAATCATCTCCCTCCCCCAATGTGACATGTGTTTTTCTAGTGCCAAAGCTGGACCCAGCTTGACATTTTCCTGTCCCTCCCCCATCCTATCCATCTCCTAACAGTTTTCACTGCTGCACACATCATATCTGGCTGAGGCTCTGGTCTCCTAGTGAGTCCCCAGGTGCACCCATGCAGCAGCCAAGCTGAGCTTTCACATGCGACATCATCCAAGCCTGCCAGCCCTTGCTTTCTACCCTTGGAAGGCTCCCTGTCCATGATGGTGGCCACCAAGTCCCTCCAGATCCTGGTCGCTGCCATACCCCTCTACCCTCTGCCCAGGGTACATTATCCTGAACTCACAGAGCTCTCACAGCACGCAGGTGCCCGCCATCCTTCCTGTTCTTGGCCACTTTTGGCCCAGGTAGAACTCCCCACCTGCTCCCCCCGGTGCTCCCATGGCCCTTGGCCATGCATGCAGTGAGGGATCCACCTTCCCACCAGCCTGGGAGGGTGCTTGGCCCAACTCAGTGCTGTATCTTTAGTGCCTAGAAACAAGAGGCTCTTAGAAATTTCTGAGTGAATGAAAGTAGACATAAGAAATAAACTTGTCTCAAAGAGGCAGACATGGGCTCAGAAATGGCCAGAAACTCAGCCAGCCTCCCATCACCTCTCCTTCAACCCGCCTCACAGGAGGCATTGTCCTGGGGCCCAGGGTTGATGACTCGATGAGGCCAGGGCTCCTTCCCTCACAAACCAAACTGCCAGCTCCTTCCTGTGGAGGGAGTCTTGCAGGCGCAAACCCTGACACTTGTCTTCTAGGGAGAGAATGTGTTCTTCTTGGTGACCAACTTCCTTGCGACACCACAACAAGTTCAGGGCAGGTGCCCAGAGGTAAGGTTGCCCAGGAGCCTTCCAGCCTTAGGTCACCAGCCATGTCCTCCCTTCTCCTTCCTAGGGTGCCTGGGGGCTCAGTATGGGCTACTGCATCCCAGGCTCTGGGACAAAGCCTTTTTGTGTCGTTCATTCAGTCTTCACAAGCACCCTGCCTGGTAGGAATTACTGCAATTCCCATTTAAGATGAGAAGACTGAGGCTCAGTGAGCTGAGTTGCTTACCCAGGGCCTCCCAGCCTGTGGGTGACAGGACTCTGGACCTCTGAGAAGCAGGCTTCCGGAGCCTTCCACTGTCATGTCCTGTGGGATGTCCAGGACCCCCAATCCTTGTTGTGCCTCTGGGCACTCTCCAGGTCGTCGGTGTGACACTCAGAGCCGAGCACAATGCTCGGATGGTCTCCAGCAGCAAGAGCCAAGATGGGAGATCACCTCCCCTTCTTTATGCTCAGCCTCTATTGGTGTGTCCCCATGCAGTTTTAATTTTTGTTGGCAAATATGGCACACCCCTGCTTGTGAGTTCAGGCTCACTTAGGATCTCTGGGTACCTAGGATTTTGCTGTGACTGTGGTCAAGCAAGAATCCCCACCCTCTGTTCATTTCTCAACCAGAAATGCAGATTCTCCCCCCTGAAATCTTACCTTTCCCCCTCACCTGGACGTGTAACAGAGCAGGGGCCCGCTGTCCCATGTGCATACATAGAAGCCCACACTGGTGCCAGAACTGTTACCTTTCCAAGCAAGGGCTCATTCCCCAGCGCACACTGGAGCCAATACTATGGCACCAGCTCTTGGGAAAAGAAGGAGTTTTTATTTGTGAGTCTGGCCTGCAAGCAGATAGGAGGCAAGGCTCAGGTCTGTCACCCTTCATCCAGGGTTGGGGTTTCAGCTCCAGTTCTTCCTGGACAGCAGACCCTTTGCCCCTGAAAACTCTCCTGCCATCCAGCTCTGGTCATGCCCTGGTCCTCTGGCCCTGTGGTGGTGTCGTTGGGGGGCAGTTGGAGGTTCCCAAGGGCTAATTTGTGAGTGGTGTTCCAAGGTTTAAACTTTGGCTCTGGGTCTTGTTAGGAACAGGACCAGTTGTAGTTAGTCCTGCAGTCACAGGCATGTCCCTGGGAACCAGTGTGTGTCGCGGAGCGCACTTGTTCTCCTCCCCCGCAGCAGATTCCCCTACCCAATTTTTTTATTGTTATAAAATACACAAAATATAAGATTTATTACCCTAACCATTTTTAAGTGTATGGTGTCCCAGATGTAAATTTCATTTGAATAGTTGGGACCAGGACATAGCCCTGGAGCCTACCTCCCTGGTGACACCTTTCTTTAATTGAGTCCAGCAGTTACTTCCTTGCTGGGCTGGATTTAATGCTGGACTGTGTGGTCACCTGTCCCCTGAATGCTGGTGGTTGGCCCCACCACAGTTGCAGATGGTGTCACATGTCCCTGGTTGGCCCTGGTCTCAAAGGAGGGGAGTCATGTGCGCAAAGGATGTGCTTATACTTGTCCTTCCCGCTCTAATGCTCAGAAGACGTCTGTTTTACGTTCAGTTTGTAGGCTCCTCTGGCTTTTGCTGGGGCCATGGTTCTGTTTTCTGGACTCCATGTGATTCCTCTTTGCCCATGTCCTGACTCTTGGCCCTTCCCAAGAAACTGTCGGGACTGGGAAATAATGCATTTGATCTGAAAGCTCAGCTCCCTGAGACTATCCAGAGTGCCTGTCAGCTCGTCTCATGGATCCTGGTCATCTGGTCCCTCCCAGCACATGTACTGTGCTCCTGCAGCAAACACCTGCTGAGCCTCTCCTTGGGCCAGGCCCTGGACTGCTCTCGCAAAACCCTGTCCTCCGTACTTCAAGAAACTCCTGCATAGACAGCCCAGCCAAAGGGATGCTCCTGCGATGGGGGCAGAGGCTGCAGTCGGGAGATCTAGGAGGTGCCTCTGCCATCCTGGAGCCTCAGAAGGGATTTCCCGCAGGACTGGAGGCTCAAGTGGGACCTTAACTATGTGCAGGCAGAGGGGGCTGTGTGGGCAAGGAACGCTCTGTGAGAGGAGGCAGCTCCAGAATCAGCTGCTGCTGAGTCGGTCTGGAGCCTAGATTTGGACTGGGGCAGGAAGCAGGTGGCCTGAGATCTCAGGGGCCCTGTGAGCCCCACTAAGGAGCTGAATTCGATCACGGGAGCAGCAGGCAGCCATGAAGGGGCTCAGGGGGCAGGCACTCCCTCTTCTGTACGTGGGTTGCCAGGTGGAGGCAGATGAGGGCAGAGGCAGAGCCCTGTGGTGGTCGCCATGGGTCCAGTTGGAGGATACGGTGGCCCAGCCAGGGTAGAGAAGCGCAGCAGGCTCAGGACACAGGTAGAGACAGCAGAGCAGGACAGGGGGCCCACACTGTCCCCCGCCTACTTATCACAGCCCCCCTGCCCACACAGCCCCATGGTCTCACTTGGCTTTTCAGAGCCCCCGGGCCCTTCCCTGGCACCATGCCCCTCCTGTTCCCCTGAGCTGGGCTCCCTGGATAGTGGTGTCTGTCCTCCACCCAGGCGGAACCATGTCTGTTCAAGTATCTGATGCTCGAGGGTACCTTCCTCTCTGGGGTCTGGGACCCCAAGAAAGCTCACCACTTCCCCCTCCTGGCTAATCCCCAGAGCTCTGTGACCATGTGCACTCATTAGTTTCCCTGTTGCACTGAAGAACAGGAAGGGAAGGGCCTAGCCTTTGGGGTCCTACTTCCCTACCTAGGTCCCTTGGACTGGGGGGTCCTGTCCTTATCTGCCATGCCCAGTGCCTCTGGCATGAACTTACCCTTCCCAGCGTCCCTCTACCTTCCCTGTGTGTGATTTGAATTAGGATCAGCCTGACAAGTGTGGCTCAGTTTCTTGGGTATCATCCTGCAAAGAGAAAGGTCGCTGGTTCAATTCCTAGTCAGGGCACATGCCTAGGTGATGGGTTCAGTCCCCAGGTCAGGGCACGCATGAGAGGCAACTGATGGATGTTTCTCTCTCTCTCTCTCTCTCTCTCTCTCTCTCTCTCTCTCTCTCCCCCCCTTTCCCTTCCCCTCACTCTAAAAATAAATAAATAAAATCTTAAATATGAAAATGAATTAGGATCAGAGGAGCTGGGCCTGGCTGAATCACTTCTGCCCCAAGCAGGGACAGAGCTCCCAGGAGGCAAAGGGCCTTGCCCTACCTTGGAATACAGCACCTGCACCCTCTCTGGTCAGGGTGGCTTGCACTCCCTACCCTGACTGCCTTGTTTTATTTGCGCCCTCCAGCTTTTCCATGTGCCCCCAAACTCAGGGAACCCTGGGGGACTAAGGTGGGAGGGACGTGTCTCTGCCGACTACAGGGCCAGTCACCCACTGGGCCCTGGACAACTCTGCTCTCACCCACCTCAGCACCCGTCCATCCCACTGGCCAGCTGCTGGGCCCACGAAGACTGTCCTGAAGGGGAGACGGGGACACACAGCCATGGTAACTGTGGACCCTGCTTTTCAGTGTCTCTATTGGGAATGGGGTTCGAGGGGCAGGCTGGGACACTGGGCAGCTCCTGAATGTGGGCCTCGGGGTACCTCTGCATCCCTCCTTTTTTGTCAGTAGCCCCTTGTCCACCCATCCCTCACCTCAGGCCTAGATATTGTCTTGTGTTTTCAAGGTATAAAAACGGGCCAATGTGTGGTGTTCAACGAGACCCACAGGACCTGTGAGATCCAGGGCTGGTGCCCGGTGGAGAGCGGCACTGTGCCCGTGTAAGTCCCCCCGCCAGCTCCTGCGGCAGGGTCCCAGGACCGCTGGGGGCCGCTCCTTACCTCCCATCCCCGACCCACAGGCAGCCCCTGCTGGTCCAGGCTGAGAACTTCACACTGTTTGTCAAAAACACTGTCACTTTCAGCAAGTTCAGCGTCTCCAAGTAAGTGTGGGTGGGTCCTGACAGGCCCCAGACCCTCCTTATCACCATCCTGTCCTGACCTTTCCTCCCCTGGTCCCTTGCAGGTCCAATGCCTTGGAGACCTGGGACAACACCTATTTCAAGCGCTGCCGATATGATCCCCTCTCCAGCCCCTACTGCCCGGTGTTCCGCATTGGGGACCTCGTGGCTGCAGCTGGAGGGGACTTTGAGGACCTGGCATTGCTGGTGGGTGTGTGGACAGCAGGGTTCTGGGAGGACTCAGGGAGAGGGTCCGAGCCCATGTGCCAGCAGCGGAGCAGTGATGTGCTGTGCGCAGGGCGGCGCTGTGAGCATCCGTGTTCTCTGGGATTGCGACCTGGACACCAGGGGCTCTGACTGCCGACCCCGCTACTCCTTCCAGCTGCAGGAGCGGAGCTACAACTTCAGGTGCCGCCTCCATATCCCCCAGTGCCCGCGGGCTGCTCCTCAGCAAGGCCCACCTCCGCCTGTCCTCCTATGAGGGCCAGGACAGACCCCACCCCAGGACAGACCCCACCCCAGTGCAGCCCTCTGGGTGCTCCACTCGCTGTTAGAGGGGGTCCCAGGAGCAGGAGGGCGAACCTCAGCTCCAGGTCCCCCAGCACAGGCTCTGCCCAGCCTCTCCCCTGAGCTCTTCCCCTTCACCCAATCTGTCCCCACACCCTGTGTTATTGCTGGGACCCCTCACCTCCAGCCCCTCCTCCACCCCACTCTGCCTCTAGCGTCTCCCCTCTACAGCAGAGGGAGCTTTCTTTTTCACTTTTCCCTTAAGGTTTTATTTTAAGGATATATAGAAAAGTTCAAAGATTTGTACCATGAGCACCCATATACTCTTCATCTGGGTTCATCAGGTTTTGTTTGTTTGTTTGTTTGTTTTTTACCATTTTGCCACATTTCCTTCTCCCTCCTTTTCTAGAGTGAGTCAGATATATTTAGATAGATTTCAAATGCATCAATGTAAAAGTAAGTGGCAGACACTTCCCCCTCTCAACTCTGTGCTGAGAATGAGGACCTTCCCCATGGGACCACTGTCCTATTGTCACACTCAGAAATTTAACAATGGCAGGCTAAATCTCATACTTAAATTTCCCCAGCTGTGCCAATAATGGTCCTAAATCTTTTTATTATCCAGTCCAGGGGGCACTCAGGAATATTGCATGACATTTATTGTCATGCCTTTGAGTCTCCTAAGCAGACCTCCCTTTTCCTGCCCAGAATCCTTCTGCCACCTCAGGCCACCTTCTCACTGTTGCTCACATGCACACGTGCACGCAGCCACCAGGCCTGGACATGGTGTTCCAGACGCTGCTGCCTGGCCTGGCCTCACTGACCTCCCCAGCCCTTTGCTCCCTGCTTACACCCTGCTCTCTGCCCACTCCCTGCTCCCCTCACATGTGCTCTCACTGGTCCTACTTTCTCAGCCTAGAATCCTTCTGGAACCTGAAAAACCAGCCTGAAAGTCTCCCCAGCAGGAAGCCTGCCCCAGTTCCTGGGGGAGCATGAGTTTCCCACTCTGGACCCTCTCACCCTGGCCTAACCCCACTTCCTCCCACCCCTACTGCTGGTGTCTATTCAGAGAGTCTTCTGTTCCTGTCCCCTCCAGAAGCAGGAAGCTTCTGAGAGGCAGGCTTTGGTTTGCTTTTCCCGTGTGTCCTCAGCCATGACACAGAGCTGAGCCCTGGGATCTGGGCTGAGTTGATGGGGTCGATGGATGAGCAAGAAGGAGGCCTGGGAGTGGACAGAACAGGCCACCAGACTTTCTCTTGTCTGCAGGACAGCCACTCACTGGTGGGAAGCCTCAGGTGTGGAGGCCCGGAGCCTGCTTAAACTCTATGGGATTCGCTTCGACATCCTTGTTACTGGACGGGTAGGAGGGGCCGGGTGGGGTGGGCAGGGTGGGGGTGGGAGGAGGAGACAACTGTGGCCTGAGAGGCTCAGCCCAGGCATCTCTCAGGCAGGGAAGTTTGGGCTCATCCCCACGACCATCACTTTGGGCACCGGAGCAGCTTGGCTGGGCATGGTGAGCGTGGCCAATGTGGGCTCCCTGTGGTTGCAGACAGGGTGCACCCAGCCCCGCCTGCATGCACACTGGGCCCCTTCTGCCTGCTGTTGAGTCTCGGGGTGAGGGCTGGGGAAGTGGCAGGGGGACAGGCTAGGGCCTGGACACGGGTCTATCCTGCCTTTCCCAGATCACCTTCTTCTGTGACCTGCTGCTGTTGTATGTGGATGGAGAAGGCAATTTCTACTGGATGACCAAGTATGAGGAGGTGAGCTATGGGCCTGCTCCACCACCAGGTGCTGCTCCACATGGAGGATGTTGGCCAGAGCCCCGGCTTAATGTCTTCATCTGCAGGCCAAGGCCCCGAAGGTGACTGCCAACCCTGAGCAGACAGAGCTGGCCTCTGCACCCCCGAACCCAGCTGCCCAGGTGCCTTAGAGGTGGCCCAGGACCTGCCACCATGGCTACTGCTGCTGCTGGAAGCCAGACACTGAAGCTGGGCGGCCCTGCCCAGGCGCTGGCCCCGACTTGCTCGCCCACTCTTGAGGCCTATAACCATTCCCTGTGGCTGGGAAGGGTGGGCCCCCCCGCTTGAGGATCTCAAGGATGAAGCCCCAGGAGAACCACAGTCAGGGGTGGGAGAATTCCACCTTCAACTCCCAGGCAGACTGTCCTTCAGCCTTGGCTCCAGGCTTGGCAAAATGCCGCCTGGGGAGCGACAGAAGCCAGCTTTGCACAGAGTCTGCAGCAGGACAGAGGCCATAAAGAAGGGGGAGCTCTGGGCCTATGTTTGCAGAGCTCTCTCCCAAACTCTGTCCCCAGTGCTCCTAGCAATGGCCTGCTCACCAGCTGCCAGCACTGACTCCCCCACTGACTGTAGCCAAGCCCAGCCCTGCCTGGCTTCCAGCCCTCCTCCCCCTGCCAGCGCCCCCATCACAGGTAGGGCCGCCCCCTCTCAGCTGTGCTCCACTGGGGGCTGTGTGGCCGGAGTCCACAGCAAGGTATAAGGAAGCCTGACAAGAGGCGCTGCCTCAGCTACTCTGGTGCTGGGTTGTGGGGGGCAAGTCCTGCCTAGACTTGGGCCTCTTCCATGGAAAGGGAGTGAGGTGGGCAGATGATCCCACCACCAGGACCCCAGGCGAGGGCACAGGCACCTCTTGGGCCCATACCTGCTCAGCTTATGGTCACTGAGGTCCTTGTGACCTTCTATATGCCTCCTGGGTGACCGCCCCAAGACCAGCCCCCTGGGACCCGCTCACTGGGCTTGCTGGGAGCCATGGGGGTGGGGAGGACATACATCTGAAATTCAGTCCCGTCCACTGCCATGCCTAAAAACCTGCCTGGGCAGCTGCAGGCAGGAGGCCTTGACTGTGAACCCAGACGAAGCCCAGTGGCTGAAGGGGTGTCCCTCACAAAGGACACAGAGGCCCCAGCAGGCTGGCCTGGTTTTGGCTCCGGAATCCTTCGGAGATCTGTGTCCTGCCTGCTGGAGAATCTCCCCTGGTCTGGGAGATCCACACTCGGGAGGGGAGGGGCAGGGGCTGTAGGAGTCAAACCCTCTCATGCTAGGAACTCCTCACGGGTTCCTGGTGACCAGGGGCTTGCTAGCAACTTGCCAACAGAGTGACATGGGTCAGCTGGGGAAGGCTTGGATGGGACTCAGGCTGGGCTAGCATCTGGAATCCTCTGGCACTTGGAGACTGAGCACAACCTTGGGTCCCTTCTGCTTCTCAGTCCCCAGAACAGTGTGTATGAGGAAGCAGGTTCAGAGCAGCCAGGGCAAGAGAACAGGGCTGTGAGACTGGTTGTTGGAGCGAGATCTCATGTACTTGGTTGTACTCAGGGCCCAGAAAAAGCTGACGACATGGCTGCAGGAAGTCAAGGAGTAAAGCCTACCAAAACCAACAGCCTCCTGTGTGGTCCTTACAGGCAGGAACGGGGAGTCAGACATGTCTGCATTTGGCATAGCACTGTGTAGGAGGGGCAGAGTGGGCCTGGGGACCCCCAAATGACTCTCACAGCCACCAAGTGGGCTGGAAGGTACTTGGAGCAGGCCCAGGTGCTTGTGCGCCCATAGAAAAGTGTGTGTACCATACACACACGCCGTCCTGAGCCTGTATCCCAAAGCCTTTGGGTGGGGCAGGGAGGGAGAGAGAGAGGGGGGGGAGAGAGAGAGAGAGAGAGAAGGAGCGCCACCTGGGCCTGAAATTGGAAACAGGTGTTGCTTCCATCTGCACACATGTGGGCTCGTGCCTGAGAGGTGCGTGTGCCCACGCAGGCGTGCCTCTGCATCCCCGGGCAGGCTGCAGGCACACACCATGCTCTCTGGGGGCCGGGGAAACCAAGGCAACCTGGAACTCCACTGCCCTTTCCAGGTGGCCTCCTTGGGGTCCAGGCTCTGCTCTCTGGGTTTGCCCCTGAGAGGACATGTGCAGAGCCTGGGGGGAAGCCCTGATCCCACCCATCATGGACCCTCCGCATGGGTGCTTGTTGGGGTGGTGTGGCTCCCCTCTGAGGTAGGCAGAAGGCACTGGCCTGGGGGCAGGACCCCGGGCCTAGGCTGGGCTGTGTTCCTGACTCAGGGCTGTCCCTGGACTGGGGCCTCCCCCTTGCAGAACCTAGGTGCCTTTGCTGAGGATTGAGGACAGTCACCTGGTTCCTGGGGGCAGGCGAGGACTCACTGCCACAAAGAATGTCACAGTGGACATGGAGGCAGATGGTATCTCAAGCAGCTATTATTGTAGATCGTTGGGGTATGGGCCTCTTACCTGCCTGCCCCACCCCACCTGCCCAGGTGCCTAGAGTTGGTCATAAACTGAAAGACGCTAAGCAAAGTGTCCTACATGCCAGCCCTGGACGTGGCCCACTACCAAAGATGAAAAGCTCAGAACCTGGGCTATGCTCTAAGGTCCTGAGGACTGCTGAGCATGAGCAGGCCTGCAAACATGAGCTGTCCCAGGCAGAGGGAGCTCCCAGGCCCTCCGGCCTCCTGAGGAGGTGAGGAAGGGTGGGCAGGCCTCCAGCTGTCCTCATGGACTGATGGGCTGCTCCGTGAAACTGGGCCCCTGGGCCGGTGGCTGTGGGAGTACACGACCTGCACTGTCCACCCCAGGCTGCTGTGGGGGAAGACCATGCAGCGTGCGGTGGCTGGCCGCTACAGCTGCTGCTGGCTCTCCTTGCTGTGCTGGATATCATAGCTGAGATACACCAGGAGTCTTGCAGGGACCGCACTCCTCCGAGGGCAGGCCCCATCCCTTTACCCTCCTTGCCCTCTCTGCCCTCCTGCAGCCCACCCAGTGCCCCAGCCTGGCCCACACTCACCGATCAGCAGCCAGACATAAGCGCAGCCGGGTCAGGTAGTTCAGCCTCAGCACAAAGCAGGTGTTGAGGAGGATGCTCAGGGCTGGAATCGGGGACACCAGGAATGTCTGCAGGCCCAGGACCTGATTTCTCAGGAAACCACAGAGCCTTTCTTCACCTCTTCAGATTCTGGGGACAACTGTCCACTCCCCATTCAGAGAGGAGCGGGTGGGCAAGCTGGCCTCCCCAGCCTTGTGATGCCTTGGTTCATCCTGCCACAGCAGAGGAGCAAGGGGCAAAGGGAGCTGGTTGGGCTGACAGCAAGTGGGTGGTGGCCAAAGGACATACCTGGAAGGGGTCCTGCTGGTGCTGTTGCTGGTGGGCCCCCAGGATGAGGAGACTAAACAGAAGCACAATAGTGCTGAGTAGGAGCAGCAGGACGTAGCCCCAGCATGGGAGGTGCAGAGTTGAGTTCCCAAAGATGAGCACACAGCCCACGGTGATGGCCAAGGCCACCCTGACACCTAGTGCCCAAGCCACAGAGGCTCCAAGGCTGCACACACCCAAGAAACCCAGGTAGGACCTTAGGGCTGCCCATAGCTGCCAGAGCTCAGGGACTGAGGCCTGTTCGGTGCCCACCAGCCCGGTGCGGTTTGGGAAGGAGTTGTATTCCTTAGCCACGGGACCAGGGCTGGCTGGGCCTGGGGAACTAGAAGGGGGAACTTCTGGAAGTGTAGCGCAATTACGGTGGTGGCCACAAAACTGTGGCCAGCAGTGTACCAATGAACAGGAACTGGACCGGCACCTCAAGGTGCAGCAGCCGCACCACGAAAGCATGAGGACCCCAAACACCAATATGCTCATCCTGGGCACTATATCCTGGGGTGCGCATTGGCAAATGCCTGGAAGAAAAGCCCATCAATGGCTATCTCCTGTCAGCCTCTTTGTGCCCAAGGCTGACCCTGGTTCCTTGCACTCACTGTCAGGCTTCCTTGGAAAGAGTCCCATATCTGATTTTCCAAACACCAATCCCTGGAAGCCCCAGCCAGCTGCCTAACCCTCTGGCCCCTGAACCCCCAGACCACACTCTCTGAAATCTGCCAGAGCAAAGGATGAGTGGGCAGCTGAAGAGTTGGCCCACTGAACCCATAGTGTGTGTATGTGGCCGGGGGTGGGTGTGTTGCTTAAATCCGGACCATTTGAACTGCCACTGTGAACATTATCCCATGCTTCCATTGTCCTAGCAATGGTAGGCAGGGTAAAAAATCTGCATTTTACAATTTTTTCATCTTATTTTAGCTATTTCCTATATTCCCTATATTTAACTCCTTTTAATTTCTCTGTGGAAATTCCAGCTCATTCAGGTTAGGCTTAAAAGAGCAAAGAAAAGGGGCTATTTTCCTCTGTGGGGTGAACACAGACTCTCCCATGGGCCAGCAACAGACATGAAGGGAATTTTGGAGCCAGAGGTGAACTGAGGGATCAGTCACCCTTCCGGGGACCTTGGAAATTCTGTGTCCTTTCACCACAGTGTATGAATGTGTGGGTAATCCTTTGGCTTCCTGCAGTGACTGCTTGCGCGGTCCCCTCCCCTATTCTCTCCCTGCTGCCATATGCTCCCCCTAAATGGCCAGTTCAACCTGCATGTGTTGCCAGCTGGCTTCCGCCAACCCAAGCCGATCTCTTTGCTCTGGCCATGATCACCCCATCCCCAAGAAGAACCTCCGGTGTCACTCTTTCACCACAGTCCAGGTGCCTAGACAAAGCTTCCAGCTCTCTGACCTCCTGTTCCCATGCCTGCCCCGCGCACCCCATCCTCCCTCTTTGACTCTATTTTGCCCACAAATACATGGAGCTCAGGAGGTGTAAGCTACTGCAGAGTGGCCTCCGCCCCTCAGCAGAAGCTCCTTCTTCGCCCTGTGGCCACCCATCACAGCTGCTCAGCTGGCGCCTATCCCACTTGGTTGCGGCGGAGTCTCCACTTCCCGCCCAAAATGATGACCAATCAAAAGAGATTTTGTAGCTGTGGAGAATGGCCAATAGCAATTGGGGTTCCAGCGTAAGGCCCGCCCCATGGAGCAGCCAGAGCCAATAGTAGTTGTGCGGACAGTGTGTCAATCAGGACTCTGTGCGCAGGGTGGAGGGAGGACTATTGAGCTCGTGGAGTTGGACGGAGTGGAGGTGGCAGCACAACCTGAGGCCCGGCGGTGACCACCATGGTACGGTGGGCTACACAGGGGGGGATTAGGCCCAGAGGGCAGCAGGGCAGGAGGCTGTCATCCCTGACCCGGTATCACTGGGACCTGGGCGCTATCCGGAGCCGTACCCGTAGCATGTGGGTCAAGAGTGGGCGCCAGACACCCTCCGCAGGTGCAGTCGGCCTCCGCTCTCACTCTTCTTTTCCGAAGTAACGTCGTGTTGACCTTGTACTCTTTCTTGTTCGCCTTTGACATGCTCTGTGTGAGCTTACGACGTCGTTTACAAGAAAGGCAATATTTACAAAGTCTTGCAGTAAGGATGATAGAAAATGGTATATTCTGAAGATCTTGCTTCCTCCATTAAGTAGGGTTTTTTATTTTTGGTTGTTTCGTTATACTCATAATTCCTTCCTCCCACCCTCCCTGCCTCCCTTCATTTCCTTCCTCCCTCCCTTCCTTCCTTGTATATGTGCTGCCAAAGCGAGCACTATACTCATAATTGCTTAAAAACAAAACCAAATAAACAGGAATAGATATGCTTACACCCTGCCGTTTCTTGCACCAAAGGTAGCACATAATATATGCTCTTGTTCCTTGGTTTTTTTTGTTGTACAGAAAAACCCAGCTCCCTCCTTATCAACATACAAAGGACTGCATTATTGTTTACTGCAGCATAATATTCCAGCGAGTGGCTGTAGGTTATTCATCCGGTTCTGTATCGCTGGATACTTGGATGTTTTCTGGTGTTTTACACACAAAAAATACAGAAAGTAATCTGTGTGCTAGCTCTCTCTTATTGATGTAGGTGGATATGGGATACTAGAAATGGATGGCTATGATTTTGTAGATATTGTCAGATTCCTTATCATCAGCAATATATGAGAATTACTGTTTTCCCACAGCATGGTAGGCTTCTGCCTTTATTTTGTTCCTTTTTATGACCTCAGAGCATAGGTATCCACTAGGTACTGTTGAATTAATACATTAACAGTTTACACATCGATGGAAACCAAGCATCTCTGTCACTGTGTACTTCTAAAACAAGTGGTGCCCAAGAGACAGCCTTATGTGGAGACAGGCCAAAATGTCCCTGTGACAGGATTTAACATGATCCAGTTCAAGGTTCACTTGTTCTCAGTTAACTGAGGCTGATGGCTAGTTATTTCAGCCTCCGTTTTCTCTCTGAATCACTATGGCAGCTTCTAAACTTTGTAAAAAGTATAACTATATAATAACTCACACTAACATCTGTGTTTTACCTTTGTAAAAGTTGGCTTTGAAGCTCCTGTTGTTGGTAGTTGTTTAGCATGAAATTATGCTCAAAAAATTTTTTTCAGAGGTGAGTTATTTCAAGTGTAAAGGAAGGGTAACTTCTGTTACATGATAGATAAAAGAAGCTTCAGGATTAGAAAAAAATGTGTCCTTTTCATCATTTTTAGGAGATGTTATTTTTAGCAGACTTTGTCTTAAGAAAAATACCGTGAATAATACTTTCAAAAGAACTATTCAGCCACTACTTTTTAGTATGATAGGGTTTTCTCAAGCTGAAGTGCCTCATCATGATTTTAAAAGTTCATAGTACTTAAACCAGTCCAGCAAGCTATACAGGTGTACCAGTTTTTATTTTTTATACTGTATTATTACTGTACCTTTTCTATGTTTAGATACACAAATACTTACCATTATGTCATAATTACCTACAGTATTTAGTACAGTAATGTCCTGTACAGGTTTGTGGCTTAGGAGCAATAGGCTGTACCAACAGCCGAGGGGTACAGTAGGTTTTACCATCTAGGCTTGTGTAAGTGCATCTATAATGTTTACACAATGACAAGAAATTACCTAATGATGCATTTCTCAGAATGTATTCCTGTCATTAAGGGTTGCATGAATGTATTAATTTATGGTATCAGTTTTATTTTCATATCAAATAGTGATGATTGCCTTGAAGATGAGGGGGCAGGGGTCTCACATTTATGTTCTGTTTCCCAGCGTGAGTGCATTTCAATCCACGTGGGGCAGGCCGGCGTCCAGATCGGCAATGCCTGCTGGGAACTGTACTGCCTTGAACACGGAATTCAGCCTGACGGGCAAATGCCAAGTGACAAAACCATTGGTGGTGGGGATGACTCGTTCAACACGTTCTTCAGCGAGACCGGGGCTGGCAAGCACGTGCCCAGAGCAGTGTTTGTGGACCTGGAGCCCACCGTGGTCGGTAGGTACTCGGGCAAGCAGGGTGGCTTCCCAGGGAGTCTGGGAGAGCCTGGCCACATCCCCGCGGTGCTCCTTGGAACCCCTCTGCAGAAAGGACGGGCGGGCACCCGGGGCTGTCCGGGACCATGCGAGGCGAGAGACCGCAAGGTTAGCGCTTGAAATGGGGGCTTAGGCTCCTGGTTCCGGAAAACCTAACATACAGAAAAAGGGCTGCTTTGCCAGGAGTAAACTGGGCTTGTGACAGATTCATTCGTGACTGCCCCAGCCCCAGGCGGCTGGAGACCCTGCCCGCAGGGCCTGGGCGCTCGTCCCTCCTCACGCTGTGCACTCCCTCGGGCTGGGGCACCAGTCTTGACCTGTGTGTCAGACGCAGAAAGGTAGGTAGAGAACATTCACTGGGTTCCTCCAGATGAGAGGCCCGAGGGAGTGTCCAGGGGAGCTGCAAGAAGGGCACTTGTCAGGGGCCATCCAGGAGACGAGAGGTGTAGCCGAACGAGGCCGCAACCAGCTGGCCAGGGCCTGAAGGTTTTTTTAAATTACACCTTTTGGTGTGAAAGAGATATGCACATGTAGGATCGCCTGTGTGCAGGGGAGAGAGCTCTGTTGCTTCTCTGGGACACGTGCCATGAGTTGAGTTTGCCTCCCCAGGGCCCCAGAGCGTGGAGCGCTCTGCGGGTCACATAGAGACTCCCTGTGACACACGGATGCTGTGGAGATACAGGAACAGCACGCGCTCGTTAGAACCGGGCGGTCCCCAAATGCGTCCGTGCTGGCGAGTGAACGATCGTCCTCAAAGAGCCGTGGGACGTGTGTCCTCTCTGTAGATGAAGTGCGCACGGGGACCTACAGGCAGCTCTTCCACCCAGAGCAGCTGATCACCGGGAAGGAAGATGCGGCCAACAACTACGCCAGGGGCCATTACACCATCGGCAAGGAGATTGTCGACCTGGTCCTGGACCGGATCCGGAAGCTGGTAAGGAGAGCGCCGGGAGGCCTCCGGGGTCCTTTCGGCAGAGCGCGGGCCGGAGTCGTGAACCCGTGGTCTTCCTTCTGGTGCGGCTGCGGTGCAGCCGCACATCTTTAGTGTCTGCTCTGCTCGGCCCCAGGTGTATGGCTGGGGCCGAGCGGAATCCGTTGAATCCCGCGGAGGCAAAGAGAAGCGACCTACTCGTCGGAGGTGGGCGGTGTGGCTCGGGCAGGCGCTGCTCACGGTCTCTGCTCTCTCTCAGGCGGATCTGTGCACGGGGCTGCAGGGCTTCCTCATCTTCCACAGCTTCGGGGGCGGCACCGGCTCTGGGTTTGCCTCTCTGCTGATGGAGCGGCTCTCGGTGGACTACGGCAAGAAGTCCAAGCTGGAGTTCGCCATTTACCCAGCCCCGCAGGTGTCCACGGCCGTGGTGGAGCCCTACAACTCCATCCTGACCACCCACACGACCCTGGAACATTCCGACTGTGCCTTCATGGTGGACAACGAAGCCATCTACGACATATGCCGGCGCAACCTGGACATCGAGCGGCCCACCTACACCAACCTCAATCGTCTGATCGGGCAGATCGTGTCCTCCATCACGGCCTCCCTGCGCTTCGACGGGGCCCTGAACGTGGACTTGACGGAATTCCAGACCAACCTGGTGCCGTACCCGCGCATCCACTTCCCCCTGGCCACCTACGCCCCGGTCATCTCGGCCGAGAAGGCCTACCACGAGCAGCTGTCCGTGGCCGAGATCACCAACGCCTGCTTCGAGCCGGCCAACCAGATGGTCAAGTGCGACCCTCGCCACGGCAAGTACATGGCCTGCTGCATGTTGTACCGCGGGGACGTGGTCCCGAAAGACGTCAACGCGGCCATCGCCACCATCAAGACCAAGCGCACCATCCAGTTTGTGGATTGGTGCCCGACGGGATTTAAGGTAGGACCGGGCGGTAGATAGCGGGTGGGTTTACCTTTCGGCCCGCAGCGGCCCCCGTGACTGAATGCTGCCCCAGTGGAGCACCGCCTGTTCCCTGGCCGCTTGGCTCTGGTCATCAGGTCGTGTGCCCGAGGGCTGGAGGGGGCGGTGGTCATTCATTTGGTGGTGTCTTTTTTTTTAATCCCCTCCCAATGATATGGTTTATTTTTTTAATTGACTTGAGAAAGAGAGAGAAACATCCATGGTTGCCTCCCTTATGCTCCCTGATTGGGAGATTGAATCTGCAAACTAGCTATGTGCCCTGACTGGGACTTAAACCTGCAAAGCTTTTGTTATGGGAGGATGCTTCCACCAACCGAGCCACCCAGCCAGGGCTTCAGTGGTAACAGAGTAAGAAATTTTCTGAAGTATCTCTGTTCCTCTGTTTGGGTGGTAGAATTAGTGTAGGAAATGTTGGTTAGCCTTACAAATAAGACATTTTTTTCTTATAATAAGAATTTTCTGAGCATTTTGGTAATTTGTGTAGATCTTTGAAATTGGGACATTTCTATTGGTGTCACTAATTCCCACTTAATTCCATAGGTATATAGAAATTAAACCCAATTTAAATGTCCAATGAAATGTTTGATTTAAAGAAAAATCATCATAGATCTTTTTCTGTAAAAAAAAAAAATAAATAACATCTCTCTCTCCTTCTTGGTAAGCCTAGAAATTCCGGCCTGCGTTTGCCTCTGGCCTCCATTTTGTACCCGCCTTCCATCTGATACAGAGGAGAAATCCTTGCTGTTGCGTTTCAGCTTTGCCCTGCACTCTATCGCTGAACCCTGTCTGGCCTTCCCCTCTGCGGGGGTGCTTCCCTGAGCCTTGCTTTCCGTGCCACCTCCTCTGGCTCAGACCCTCACTGCTTCTGGTGGGCCTGCTGTGCGGGGTTCCTAACTCGGCCTGCCTACACTGGGCTCCCTTCCTCTAGTTCAGGGGTCAGCATGATTGGTGGACCAGCACCTGATTATGGTTTAACAGGAACACAGCCACACCCACATCGTAGCCTGTTGTTGTGGCTGCTTGTGTGCTTCAAAGACATAATTCAGGGGCTGTAACAGATTGTCTGGCCCACTCAGCATAGAGTATGTACTATCTTACCCTTTATGGAGAAAATTTGCTGACCTGAACTGTAGCTAACGCTGTCTGTATCGTGCCACCAAAATCTGGTCCTAGCTCCTCTGGTTCTGAAGCCTAGAATGTCGCCCCCTTCCTCCTACGTAGCACCCACACTGACCACCTGCTCTGCGGTTGGAGCAGTGGTCCTAGGTCCCCCGGCAGTGCACCTTTCACTCTGCACACACTGGTGGTTTGGTGGGAAGCCAGGGTAGGTTCTCCCCTTGCCATACCATCACAGTTGTATTCTGGGTGAGAAACCCTTCTGCTGGGCAGATCAAGTCCCCTCTTGTTGAAGCCTATGGAGAAAGTAACCTATGAAGACTCTAGGGCAGTGTCCTCTTTCAGAAGGAAGACAGTTCTATCACCAGAACGCCTATCACATGTAACAGTTGCTGAGACACAGCACTTCAGACACCTTGGGCTGAGCCAGAGTGGCCAGCTCTAGCCACTTCCTTGTCTGGAAACCAGCACCCTGGTTTCCTGGTACCTCGTCTGGCACAAAGAAAGGCTCAGAGGCTGCAGGGTGAACCAAGCCTCTGCCAGGTTGTCAGAGGGCAGGGCACCTATATGTCTTTCTGGGAAAGCAGCTACCACTTCTGAGTTCAACAGAGGCTTCGCTCAGTGCTTTGTTCCCCTTCTCTGGCAGGTGGGCATCAACTACCAGCCCCCCACCGTTGTCCCCGGGGGAGACCTGGCCAAGGTGCAGAGGGCTGTGTGCATGCTGAGCAACACCACCGCCATCGCCGAGGCCTGGGCCCGCCTGGACCATAAGTTCGATCTCATGTACGCAAAGCGGGCCTTTGTGCACTGGTACGTGGGGGAGGGCATGGAGGAAGGGGAGTTCTCCGAGGCCCGGGAGGACCTGGCAGCTCTGGAGAAAGATTATGAAGAAGTGGGCGTGGATTCCGTGGAAGCGGAGGCTGAAGAAGGGGAAGAATACTGAGTGGGAGAGTTGTGCTAGCGCCCTCCATTGTATCACCGCCCCATCACATTACAAGATATGTTTACCTATTAAAGTTTCTGTATCAAACCTGTCTGCTGTGATGCTCGGCTGGGACGCACTCGTCTGCTCACAGGAGTGGCAGGACCCCAAAGCCGGCTGGACCTGCATGGAAGGCCGGTCTGGGCTCCCCGGTGCTGTCCCTCTGGTGCTGTGCAGCATTAACCATACCTGTAAGGAGCTACTGCTCACATGACATGGCCTAGGGGAAACTTCCCAATCCAAGATTTCAAAACAAAGATTTACTAAATTCTAGGAAAACTGAGTTGGGTTTTTCAGTTGAATTTGCCATTTCTAAGGCTTCTCCACTGATGGGACATGTGGACTAAAGTAAAAAAGTTTAGAAGTGGAGTTTTAAAATCTGAGGTCCATAGAAAGGGGGGTTGTCCACAGAACCCCTGACACTCTGGGTTAAATGTGTAAGGTCAGGACATTTGGGAGGAAAGGAGTCTTCGGCAGCATTCATGGCCCTCGGGTTGGAAGCTCTGCACAATTCATCTTTGTCCTGTGATAACTTGACAGTGTCCCCTGCTCCATGTTCAAACCCCCGTCCCCACTGCACCTGAGCACCTGGTAATGGTCCCAATGAGTCACTCTTTCACGGCAAGCACGTGTTGAAATCTACTAATAAAAGACCTAGTAAAATGGATATATTCTCTCAGACCTGAAAATGAGGTCCAGGAGGGTAAAGTCACTGGTTTAAAAGTAACTTGGTTAGTTCAGCTGTGGCATAATCAGGATTAGCACACAGAACTAGTTCTAAATATCTGTGCCTTCCTACATTCAAAAGATGACAGAAAACATCTTGAGTGGACCCCTCAGTTTTTCAAAAAGGTTTATTACCAACTGGAGGAAACACATAACCTCAGCCAGAAGGTTGGTAGAGCCCACAGCAGGTGGGCGTGACAAGTCTCTGCTTGGCTCAGGTGCTGCCCCGGGTGGGGCTCTTCCCTGGCCCACCCCCCTTGGGCAGCCTGGTAGCACTGGGCTGTCGGGGCATCCTCTGGCTGGATCCTTCCCGGCTGCTTCGTTCTGCCAGCGCTGGGCCTCCACCAAGAGCAGTGCTGCCTTTGTTTCTCCCTGAGCAGACACAGAAAACAAGTATTAGGATCCAGGGCAAACTCCACAATCACAGTATGTCTCTGTATAAATGTCCCTTGAGCAACATTTACATCTAGTATGTTTCTGGGGCCACCGTCCTTTCAGCCGGGAACCCCATATCAGCCCAGGGTTCTGAGTCTGAGTAGTCCTTGGCAGAGTGCAGGAGGCCTCGAGGGTGTCCTAGGTCGGAAGTCACGCACAGAATGGGGCGGGGGGCAGGGGCAGCTAGCTTGCTGACTTCTGCCCAGGGAAGCGCCGCACAGGAGGGCTCGCTGTGGGCAGTGCTGCTAGCTCGCTGCCCCCCAGCACTCTCCTCTCTGGGTGGTTTGTGTCTGCGTTGATCAGGCAGATAATCAGGAAGCACAGGAGTCACCTGGGTCTTCTGTAGCATCTGGGTTAGGGACCCTAATCTTGGGTCCCTGGGCATCCCACAAACTTTGGACAAGGGACATTTGCTGAAGGACTCAGAAGTACAGCACAGGCACAGCTCAACCCCAGCAAGTGGCAGGGTGGGTCTCAGAGGTGGGCCTCACTTGAAACCAGCTTTTCTTCAGCCTGTCACACACATGAGCCCCCGCTCCCCTTCAGTGTAATGATGAGGACCCTGGAAACTCAAGGATGAGAGAAAAGTAGAAAAGGGGAAATAGTATTTTCCTATAAATCTGACAAGGCCCGAAACTCTGGAAATGACACCAAAGTGGCTTTGAGCCACAAGGACGTTAAGAAAACCATCTAACAATGGATGTAGACTGTTTAGTGGGCTCGGTGTGATGTGTGGAACCCTCAGGAATCCCATGCTTTTGGGGTCAGTGGGGAGATCGGTTCGGGCCTCTTCACAGGGATGGAGGGTGGAGAAGGGCATGCAGGTTCTGCAGTGGAAAGACCTGCTGTGCCCCGCTGGGCTCAGGCTCAGCCAGGCCCTCCCTGGGGGACCCTGCGTGGGACTTTCTGGAGTGGGTCACGTGGAATGGAGGGTGAGGCTGAGCCAAGCATGGCCGCAGGCTGGGGAGGGGTGGGGATGTGCCCGGTTCCTGAGGGCACAGACTGACAACATCACTCAATATGAAAACCAGTGGTCTGACTTATTTCTCCAAAATTCAGTGCTCCTCCTACCCCTAAAACCAGCCTGTGTCCACTCAGGTTTGTGCCCCACTAATGATATAAACTAAAACACCAGCCTGTCATCCCCTGGTGACTTGGGGAGTCCCTGAAGCTGGGGAGACGGCCAGACACAGAGGCACCCTGTCTGTCATTTACCTTTGATGTGGCCCATGTGAGTCCCACTCACATCCCCTGCAAGCTCTGCCAGCAGAGCTGTTAGGGAACAAAGATTTATAGAAAGTCCCAGCAGGAGTGCCTGGGCCCCAAGAGGCCTTTCTTCTTTGGGGTGGGAGCGCCCCCTCGTGGCAGTATGGGCCAGTGGTGCCGCCAAGGCAAAATATCAGTACCTGGCCCAGGGCATGCACTTGAATGCATTTTGCATGAGGCAGGAAAAGAATAGGGTGGGCGGGGAGGACAGGTGAGTAAGAAATGAGTAGAAAGAAAGTGCTACAGCCAGGCGAGGCAGCACAGGTCACCCAGGGTCTTCAAGGCCGCTGGCCATTCCCGGAGAGCCACTGAAAGGTCTGCATCTGCCAGCCAGTTCTGCTGCCCTCTCTGGCTGGGCACACAGTAGGGGCTTAATCAGTGCTTCCAGAACACACACAGACAAAAACAAAGACTGACGTGCCACTCGGGTGAGCACACATGTACTCTTAACCCTTCACTTAGCCTATGCGTCTTGGGAGGGGATGTGCTGGGGCGGCCCCTCTCCGAACGGCGCACAGCGCTGATGGGGGGTTTCAGGAACGGTGTAGTTGTCATGTTCCGGAGCAGCACCGTCCAACAGAAGTATGATGCGAGCCGCATACGTCATTTTAAACTTCCTAGTAGCCACATTAAAAAGTAAAAACTGAACAAAAAACCCTCAGGAAATTAAGTAATATATTTTAATTAACAAAAAAACTCCAATATATTATCATTTCAACATGTAGCCAATATAAAAATTATTCGTGAGATGTCACATTCCCTTTCTGGGCCAGCTCTTCAGCATCTGGGCCCGTGGTGTGGACTTCCACTCACAGCGCCTCTCACTCAAGAGCGCACCCCGGGGCGGTGGCTTCCGTGCCGGACAGTGCAGCTCCGGCGTCCGCACACCAAACTTCCCCTAACACATTCTGGAGGGACGTCTTTTTAAAACTTGCAGTTTCCCTACACTTCAACAGACGACACCCAACTGAATTAAATTTTTCCTCAATGACTTCACATCATCCCCATGACAAGAACTACTCCTCTGTGCTTCTGGGGTCTTGTTTCCCCCTTTTCTGCCAGAAGAGGCAGGAATGAGTCAGCTTGCGAGTGAAGTCCCTTCAGGCCACCTTGATGGCTGGCGGGTAGAAACCCAGACAGAGTCAAGAGCATGGCCGGGAGCAACTCGACACCCCAAGTTTGTGAGGAACCTAAGGCCAGCCAGCCCCAACAGCCCCAAACCCCTACCATCACCCTAGGCCACCATGGTCCCCACAGCTGGGTCACTCTGACAACTCTATTTTCCCCACCCCAGACCCTGCCATTAATGAAGTGGCTGGAAGGTCTGTATGAACAAATGCTGCGATATGTGGCCTCAGAGACCTGTCTGGTGGCCTCTGCCTCACAGCTGTGGCAGACCCCTGGCATGGCCCCTTAACTACCCTGCTCCCCTTCTACTTCTCTGCATCAGCGACCTCCCAGGCTGCCCTCTACCCGCACCACGCATCTCCCAGGGCCTCCGTGTCCTCATAGCCTGGCTTCTGGCCACCAGCCTGGTAGGACCCAAGGCCTGAACATCAAGGAGAAAACGACCCTGTGGCACCCAGTTCTCCACTCCTGCCCCTGCCTCCCTCAGAGCTCCCTCTGATCTTCCCAAGCCCTCTATGCCGGGGCTCCCAGCGCCACGCCCATGCCGCGCCTCTTGACTCTCCATCCTCCTCTCTCCTCCCACCTCCCACACGGGCCCAGCTCCTACCATGGCCTGGACACACGCCATGCATCTCGGCCCACCTTTCCTCTCTCGGCCCCTCCCCACCTCCCAGGGCTCTGCAGCTGGCACAGAGGGCCCTGCCCCCAGCCTGCTAAACCCCTGTTGCTTCAGTTCCTGTCTCTGTCACTCATCTAGCCATCTCCCTCACTGGACTGAGAGCATGTCCATTTTGCAACCCCGCTGTGCCCTCAGCACTGAAAGGTGGCCTGGCACCTACAGTCACCAAGGGAGCAGTGCCACCCTCTCTAGTGAGGTGGGCTCTGTTCCCAGTTTCTCCCTCCCTCTGGGAACTCACCCGTCAGTTCCTCAGCTCCGCTTGTAGCCCACCCACCCTACCCTGACCTGCCTCTCAGCCCTTCCCTACACCTCCCTGGCCCGAGCTGCAGGTGGCACCTGGAATGGCGAGGTGGGCCAGCGTGTGTAGGAGGGCAGAGTCAGAGCACCTGCGGGATCTCAGGCCCTCACATACCCCTGGCCCTGGGCCCTCTGCCTCATCACACCTGGCAATGCCTAGCAGGTATCCCCAGCTCAGGAGCCAAGCAAGAAAGGGGACTCATGGTTTTATCCTCCAGGCTGCCCATCCAGGTGTGTGACCGCATTATCTAAGAGACCAAGGTGTTTCTCACACCTAAGGCTTTGCTGTCCACAGCATGCCACATGCCTCTTCCCTGCCTCTCGACCTCTTGTCTTCCTCTGGGGCAGGGGCACCTCTACAGGGAGCAAGTCTCACCCAGCAGAGTTAGTCTCTGTGGGGTAAGCGGTGTTGGTCCCATTCTAGAATTACTGAGGGGTTGTCTCTTAATAAACCATGAAATCATGTCCTCGCTCTCTAAGCTGCATGACAGATGGCTAGCAGGATCCTGCCCTCGAGGCGAAAAGCTGCTCTGGCTTTCTTGGGCCAGAGCAGTTTCCATGGAAACAAGAGAGCACACCAACCCCCAGAGATAAACCAATAAATGCAACCTGCAAAAGAAGAGAACAGGCAGCAAGACAACCGGAGGGAACCGGGGGGGCCCGGAGAGAGAGGCGAGAGCGTGGCCGCTGGGCTGTGATGCAGAACCGGAGAGGCCGCAGGCCGCGGGGCCGAGGAAAAGGAGGGCCTTGCAGAGGGGCTACAGTTCTTGGCAGAGAGAAAGGAGGCCTCTGCAGGTCAGAGAGAGACACAAAGAGAGGAGATGGAGCATGGGTCAGTGAGGAGGCTCAGGGCCTCTAAACAAAGATGGAGCGAGTGCCTAGTGCCCTGGCAGTCCCAACCCAAAGGGCCGGCCTGGCCTCTACTCCAATGTCAGCTGCTTCTCAGAATGTCTGTAAGTGCCTGAGTGCTCTGGCCAACAAGGTTCTGCTGCATCTCAGAGGGTTTCTGACAGACATCAGCAGGATAAGTGACACAGCGCTCCATCATAACACCCTCATCGCCAGCACCTGTTCACCTCCTGTCACGACCCTCAGGCCTGAGCCCGGTGCTCTGCCACTCAAGCCTCTGCCCCCTCACTGCCTAGGGCAGCCAGGATTGCTGCGCTGTCACGTGGCCTGAAATCCAAGGAAAGCTCAGCTGGCCAGACCCCTGGACAGGATCTGAGGCTGGGTGAGGTACATACAGGGGAGGGGGCTGTAGGAAGGCCTCCGCCTGCCCGCTCCCTGGGCACTCCCGTGGACAACGTACACACCTTGAGAACAGGAACCAAGGCAGTCCCGTCTCTGTATTTGTGGTTTGAAGGCATGGGTGATGAGGTGACAAGAGGCTGGGACAGCAAAAGTCTCAGATGAGACCTAGCCTGCTTGGGCCACGCTAGGGCACACATTCTGCCTTCATCTGATCTAGACGTCCTCTGTGTAAAGGCTAGCATTGAAGCCAAAGCTGGGGACTGCGCCAAAGGGGACAGACCTTGGATGGCCCCAGTGGGTCCTGGGAAAAGACCTACAGAAAGGCCTGGCCACTGAGGGTCTAGCCCTGCTGTGCCGGGCATTGCGCACCTCCTGGCCCCTGAAACCCCACCTACTGGGCCGAAGGGGCAAGAAAGCACCCCAACTCTGACCTCTGGTCTCCGGCATGCTCGATGTGGGCAGGGACACAGTCGCAGAGTCCTGAGGCTCGCTCGCCAGCCTCTGCCCGGCACACATGGACTTGAGCATCTGGAAGACTGCGAGGGGCGCGACGTTCAGCTTCAGCAGGTCCACCAGGATCCTGGTGAGAACAGACAGGTGCGCAGTGAGTCCTCCTCTCCTGGCCACGGGCTTGGCAGCTCTGGCGAGAACGGGCCAGACAGAGCTACCAGGCTGGGACTAGGCCCAGGGGGGCCACCTCCCTCAAGGCCCGCCTCTACTCTGGGTCCCCACGGGGCTCTGACAAGGACAGGTGGCTCTTATATATAGACCGGTTGCCCGGCGGGGAGCTGAGAGCAGGGCTGTCTGGAGGTCGAAGGAGCGTGCAGCCCCCACCCGCTCACTTGAACACGTCGGGGTCCATGGCGCCGCCCGCCGCCTGCGCCAGCTCGTACAGCTCCATCTCCTCGGCGCTCAGCACCTTCTTCCGCCGCAGCGCGAGCTTCTGCAGGGCCGCCTCCAGCCCCGGGGGTGGCCCGGGCCCGGAGCCCGTGGCCGCCATCTGCTCGGCCTGCGAGCAAACGAGCGTCTCGGCCTCGGCGCGCCCCGCCCTCGGCGCGTCCCGCCGGGCGCTCCCGCAGAGCCCTCTCTACTGGCGCTGCTGGCCGTTCCTCTCCCTGCAGCGCCACCGCCTGGCCTCCGGGACAACCCAGCCCCACAGGGCAGGGATTGGTCCGTCTCCCCTACGCTGTTCGATCCACATTTACTTGCTGGGCAGTGTGTTAGATGTCGGGGATACGGTGGCAGGCCAAAGAGATCGGTCTTTGGTGGTGAGGACTTCCCTGCTAGGCTGAGCTGGTCTTTGTCGCTTAAGTGGGAATATCCAGCGCAGTGCCTGGAACATATGGGGCGCTCAATGAATACTTGTGGGACGAAGGGCAGTTAATGCATAATGCATAATTGCTTCGTGCCAGGATGCCCCATTGGCGTCGCGCTCTTAGGACCCTAATTAACAGCCTCTACTGACGCGCACGTGCGCTGCTCGCCGCGGATACAGGCCACGAACTCCGGCGCGAGGGCCGCAGATGCATTTTATCTTCTGCGCACTCACACGCGGAAACGAACCCATAAACCTGGTCCGCCTTTGCTTTGCGCACGCGTCACTCGAGGTAGCAGCGCGAAGAAGTAGCGGCCTATTTCCCGCCAGGCCAGGGGGCGTGACGCCACGCGCAGCTTGATGACGACACTTCGGCGCCGGATAGCCAAATGGTAGCTGTGGTCCCTGAGATGAACGACACCATGGGCTCCACAGGTGAGTGGAGGGAGCCGCGCGCAGGATGGTTCCGCGTCCCAGCAGCCTCTCCGCCGAAGCTGTCTCGGTTCTTCCGCGAGCCCCGGGCCGGGCAGGCGGGGGAGCCTAGGGGCCGGGCTGCGCTCTCCTGCCACCTTCCCGCGCGGCTCACACACGCCGTCCCGGTGGGTGCTCGTTTAACGTTCGTTGAAGGAGTTGGGAGAAAGAAGAGATTCTAGTTAAAGTTGAGCCTTGAACTCAACAAACTGTGTAGGAGGGTGAGCTGGGTGTGAGTCCCAGCCCAAACCTTTCTTCCTGTGCGGCTCGATTTTTTCGAACCTCAGTTTCCTCACTTGTGGTAACTTAGAGCCGCTAGAGGGAGTCCTTGGCAGGGCCGGAGAACAGTGTAAGAGGCACTGCCCACCCTTGGAAAGACCCCTAGGTTGGCGCCGCTGGCCTCATTCCTTCAGGCCCTGCCTAGGCAGCTTCCTCTGGGAGCATGGAGATGCTTTCACCTCATCTCTAAATCTGTGCCCTTTGCAAACAATTCAGGATTTTATGCTGCTTTGGTCATTTTGGTATAGTTCTCGACCACTTGATTTAGGACTGACGTTTTTTATTTGTTTTAAGTCTTTCTTAAAACGGAAACTGATAGCTAGTTTTAAGAGTTGAGCCGCAGCGCGGCTCGCGGGCCACGGGCCCGGGCCACCCCCGGGGCTGGAGGCGGCCCTGCAGTTTCTGGCTGGTGTGGCTCAGTGGATTGAGTGCCGGCCTGAGAACGGAAGGGTCGCCGGTTCGATTCCCGGGTTGCATGTCAAGTCCCCAGTTGGGGGCATGCAAGAGGCAACCCGGGTTGCATGTCAAGTCCCCAGTTGGGGGCGTGCAGAATCGGTGTTTTTCTCCCTCTCTTTCTGCCTCCCTTCCCATAGCTCTATAAAAATAAATAAACTCTTTAAAAAAAGAGTTGCGAAAGCCTTGGAGGTGTTTGTATTGCCAAGTGGCAGGTAGGCACATCTGTCAACTCCTCAACTGCCTACACAGCCTCCTTGCACCCAGCCAGTTCCCACCCACATTAAGCTGTGACTTGCCGCCTCAGGGTCCTTACTCAGGCCATGGGCAGAGCTGTGGCTGGAAACCCATCCATTAGCCCATCGCTGGAACTAGGCATGCCTCCTCTCAACGCAGTCCAAGTCTGAGTATTTTCATTTTCTGACCTGGGTAGGCAGAGAAGGAGGAATCTGGAGACCTACCCCTGACTTTCTGATGGCCCGGCCAAAGGCTCCCTTGGCAAAACTTGTTCATCTCCTCCCTTCATTCTCCTAGGGCACAGGTAATATAGAGGAGATTTATCCACCTGTCTCTGAGAGATTTGTGGGGAGGTCTGTGTGTTTGAATGTTCGTTCTTGCCATTTACCAACTGGATAAGGGCAAGTGACTTGCCTTCTCTCTGCCTCCATTTCCTCACCTGTACTGACCTTGTAGGGTTGTTGTGAGGACGTATTTTCTTTTTTGCTTAACGAACTTAGCAGCTTAAAACTTCGCCCATTTATTGTCTCACAAGTTTATAAGCAGGTTTGGGGTTCTCAGCTTAGAGTCTCACAAGACTGAAATCAAGGTGTTGGCTGGCTTTGCTCTTATCTGGATGCTGTGAAGAAGAATCTGATTCCAGACTTATTCGGGTTGCTGTCAGAATCTAGTTCTATGGAGCTGTAGCGCTAAGGTCCCTGATTCCTTGCTGGCTGTCAGCCAAAATTGCTGTGTATTTTGTTGTCCAGCGGCTTGACCTTTTTTTAATTGTATCTGCAGAGTCCCTTTCACAGCAATATCTAGATTAATGTTTGATTGAATAACCAGGGACGGGCCCTTGAAGGGCTACCTTTAGAATTCTGCCAAACACCGAGAATTAAATGAGAAATATATGAAGAGCCCTTAGAACCAGGCCTGATACGTATCAAGTGCTATACAAGGGTTACCATGTGTTTCCAAGGATTCACCACCACAGACTCGGCTCTGAAGCTGGCCACTGTGGACTGCATGGGAACAGCAGATCTGTAATACATGGGGCGTGGCAATGTAGTATGTGTAGGAGAACATACACATGTTCTCCTGGGCATTGTGAAATGGTGCAGTATTTTGCACCATTTGTTGAGATTTCATCTTTGCTTTTCCACAGTAATTTCTTAGGACAGCCATTTTCAACTCTCCACGGGAGGCTACCATGGCGTTCCCTCACCTGCAACAGCCCAGCTTCCTGCTGGTAAGTGTCAACTGCCCGAGTGAGTGGCAGCGCAATGATAGCCCCACGCTGAGGGACCTGAGAGTTCTTCGGCCCAGCTGGAAGAGCTCTCCAGCGGTGGTCTGGGGGGTGTGTGATGGAAGTAACACTGGCCTCAGGGTTGGAATCCTTAGGCTGCCTCTGCCTCTGCCTCTGCCTCTGCGGAAGCTTGGGTTTAACTTAAAAAAGAAAAGAAAAGCCCTGCTTTTCTCACCTGCAAGGCAAGTTGATTCAAATGCCGTTTTCCCCTGCTGCTGGGGAATGAGGAGCAGCAGCGGCTCAAAAGGATGTACATTTGAATTTTTACGTATTGTGAATTCTTACACAAACATGTAATGCTTATACCTGTCATTAGTGAAAGACAGAGGGACGCTGCCATGCCCAGGGCAACCGGGCCTGCAGTGTGAACATTAACAGGGTGCTGAGAAGTTAAGCCTGAGGCAAATGTCAATGGTAAAAGTGTCAAATTTCAGGTACCAGAAGACACTTTATATAAACATTTTTTTGGAAGGACATTCTTCCTCAGTGAACTCTCTAGGGCCAACAGCTCCAACCCATGGCCCCAGCAGCCCAGGTCTTCAGCTCTGACTGAGGCCCCGTGGACTCTGCCCTGGTTTGGAGGTAGACAAGGCCTTAGATATCCTTAGGCAAAGCTCTCTTTGTTGAAACTCAGGCATTTCCTCTTCATCGTCATTTGTGCACTGGCTTCTTTTCTTGGTGTAGTCAGTATACACACGCCCCATGACCTCAGGTACATCTCCTTCGGTATTTTCCTAAATGCTATATGATCTTTCCACTGCCATCATCATTAATGTCAGCACTTGGCTGGAGCCATTTTTAACCTGCCTCTTTCTTAAGGTCATGAAGGTTCAGTAGGTTCGTTATCTACTGAATAAAGGATATTTTGGTTAAGGGCTTAAATGGGAACAAAGGACACGCTCATTTCTTTGGGCATTCTTACCGATGATCACAGCGGTATAAGCCACGGGTAGGCAGTTGTGCAGGGAATTTCCAGTTCATGCAGACATTTGGTGAACACTGTCGTGTGTGAGGGAAACCCTACTCCAAAGTGGCCTTTCCTGGATGTGGGCCTGACCTCCTGCTCGTGAATCGCAGAAGCTAGCTTTATTTTGATAACGTACAGGTCTTTGAGGTAACCGGCGATGCCTAACAGAGGGTGCTGAGAAGCGAGCCCGGCGGTTACTAGTCTAGAGAGCATGGGCCCTCAGCCCCTCTTCTCGTAGCGTCCTTTCGGTCACTGACGCATGTGTGGCCTAATGTGGGAGGTACTGGGGAATCAGGCCAGCGCTGTGTATCTCACTCCAGCCTGTCACTTGGATTTCTGTTTTGGCTCAAGCCAGAATATCATCAGAAGCTGCAAAGCGAGCATGCTTATGACTTTTTTTGGTGTCTTCTCCTAGGCTAGCCTGAAAGCTGACTCTATCAATAAGCCCTTTGCACAGCGGTGCCAAGACTTGGTTAAAGTCATTGAGGATTTTCCAGCAAAGGTACAGCTCTGCTAGCATTTCTTTGGGGCATGTCTCATGGCATGTCTCATACTATCCTTGAAAAATGTTCCTACAGGCCCTGTTTCCTACCTCTGAGCACTGCCCTGCACCCTGATCTGGCACTGTGACTGTCGCATTTGTGGATACATTTAAACGTGAACATGTAGACCAAGGGGTTTTGACCATGGATACTTCTGTCCCACATGGGATGCTTGACAATGTTCTGGGACATTTTTAGTTGTCACACGGGGGTGGTGCTACTGGTATTGAGTGGTAGAGGCCAGGCTTGCTGGTAAAGCATCCCATAATGCCCCCACAACAAAAAAGTGTTCAGTCTAATAAAATGTCAACAGTGCCAAAATTGATAAATCCCGATGTAAATACTGAGGTTGTGTATCTACATCATACCCATAATTGTCCAGTAGTAAATGAGGTAAGTTCAAGAAGTCAGCCTGGACAGGGAGTTACTACCAAATGACAGTAAGTCTCAGTTTCAAGGGCTCACTTTGAGAAAGAATGTTGCAGCCTTTTTTAATAAAGCTCTTTTCAGATCAGAAGTTTTTAACATTTTTAAGAAACTTTTTAAAGATGC